TATACATGTATATATTTTCTTCGTCTAAAGTCTGAATTTCGTTTCGTGGCCATAGAATTTCTTAATATGATCCAGGAGGAGAGTTTAGCTTTATTCCTTTGCATGATGTCTCCCAACAAAACGGTTTAGTTGAACGAAAAATTGCCAGGTAGTAGAGCTCACAAGAGCTTTGCTCCTAGCTTCTTCTACTCCTAGTCGTTTTTGGCCGGAAGCTGTTGTCACAGTAGTGCGTCTTATCAACTATCAAGTCACTCCTGTGTTAAACAAAAAAGTCCCTACTATGCTCTTTTCGGTCATCATCCTGATTATTCTCGTCTTATGGTCTCTGGTTATCTTTGTTTTGTTCTTCTTCCTAAACGTGAACGTACAAAACTGTCTTCCAAAACTATACGTTGTGTCTTTCTTGGATATAGTAGTGTTTATATAGGTTACCTCTGCTATGATCCTTCTAGCCAGCATATGGGAATTGCTATTTCGGTCGTCTTCTTTGAAAACAATAATTTCTATCCGACTAATTCATCTACCGATGTTGAATTTCCTGGTGGATCCAATTATTTGCCCATATTTGAGGAAGATGATGACGTTGCTCCTCTCGTGTTCAATGAACCTGCTGCAACTCCTTTCTCTCCGCATCTGGCCTCTCCCACGCCCAGCACCTCCTCATCCTTGTCTCTGTCCAGTTCATGCGAGTATGATTCATCTCGTGATGCTTCTCCTCTGCCAGTAGTCAAGCCGCTTCCTCGCTATTTTGACCTTACCAACAAAGGCGTTCCACCTTCCTCTATCCAAGATTATGTCACCTATAACATTGACACTCTTGTTGTTCCTACCACTTTTAAGCAAGACCGAGGCAATCCCATTTGGGATCGGGCAATGCAGGAGGAGTTTAGTGCGTTGGAAGCTAATCGCACATGGACGGTGGTTGATCGTCGTAATCCTTGTCCTCCTACCATTGGCAGCAGGTGGGTTTATGCTATCAAAGTTCGATCAGATGGTTCCATTGAATGCAATTACGCTCGTCTAGTTGCTCTTGGTTATACTTAGGAACATGGGGTGGATTATAATGAAACTTTCTCTCCCGTTGCTAAGATGTCCACTGTCAGGACATTGCTTGTTGTTGTTGCGTTGTATCATTGGCCTCTCTATCAACTCGACGTCAAGAATGCCTTCCTCCATGGGGATATGAAGGAAGTGATATACATGGAACGACGCCCTGGTTACACTATTGGTCGTGAATATCAAGTTTGTTTATTCCATCGATCTCTTTATGGTCTCAAACATGCACCTCGGGCATGGTTTGAGAAGTTCCAAACTGTGATTGTCAACTAGGATTTCAGCAGAGTTTAAACGATCCTTCACTCTTCACGAAGGTCACCCCGGCTAGTATTGTGGTTCTTCTGTTATATGTCGATGATATGATCATTACTGGTACGGATCAGACATATATTTTTCCTCTTAAGGAAGGATTGAAAAAGGCGTTCAACATTAAGGATCTTGGTACTCTCTCTTACTTTCTTGGGCTGGAGGTCACCCGTAATGATCGAGGAATTCTTCTCAGTCAACACATATACATCTCTGACTTGATTGGAGATAACAATTTCAATGACTGCAAACCGGTTAAGACGCATATGGAAGTCAATTTGAAGCTGCAGAAAGACTCTGGTGATCGACTAAAGGATGGCTCGCAGTACCGTAATATTGTCGGTAGTCTTATCTACCTCTCTGCCACTCGCCCTGATATATCATATGCAGTACAGGTGGTCAGTCAGTTTATGACAGAGCCATGTGTTGATCATCTAGCTACAGTTTATGACAGGATCTTGCGTTACCTACAAGGGACAAAGGATCTCGGCATTTTGTTTCCATCTGCAGGTGCTCCCACATATTAGTGCCTATTCTGACTTTGCAGGCTGTATAGATACTCGACGATCTACTTAGGATGGTGTGTTCAGTTCGGAGGGGCCTATATATCCTGGCGGTGTAAAAAGCAGGAAAAAGTCTCCAAATTATCTACGAAAGCTGAATACCGTGTTATGTCGGAGGTCGGATCCGAAATGGTGTGGTCACGACGTCTTCTATTAGATTTTAGTATTACTTGCCCAACGCCCATGGTGCTGCATGTGGATAACACTAGTGCCATACGCATTGCCGTCAACCTCGGTCTCCATGATCACACGAAGCACATTGAAATTCATGTTCATTATGTTTGAGATCTTGTCGTGATGGTACTCTCAGATTACATCATCTGCAAACGGAAGAACAGGTTGCTCATATTTTCACGAAGGCCTTTTCCACAAGTCGCCATTGGTATCTAGGGAACAAATTGATGGTTCGAGATCTACATAAATTTGGGGAGTGCAAATATATGTTAGTAGGCTGCTGCTTAAGCTAGACGTAGGAGAATTATGTGTATGGCCCATCATTTATCAAGCCCTTACGTAATACATGCAAAGCCCATGCACGGTAGGTTGTAGAGTGTGAAACCTAACCTAGGGCGCATTATGTATAGAAGTGTGGTGAGGGCAGCCGCTGCATCTGTAATCTATCGTCATCATAGTAAGATCAGTAGCATTACGAGCTTTCTAGCTCTTCCGTGGATTAGTTCTGGATATCCAAAAATATCACGTAAACTTCGGTGTATGTGTCTAATTTCGTTCTCTGTTTCCGTATTATTCTGTGTCTGTCAACAAGAGGCTAACTTCTCCTGGCTCTCCTCATCATTATGTTCCCTATTCATCAAGTTTTCTGCAGCTTCATAAGCAGATCGTAGGCTGAATTTTCCATTAGATTCAAGTTCCCACATGGTAAGATCTTTCCCAAGGTCAGATATGGGCGGATCGGTAGCTGCAATCAAAAGAAAAAGGGAGTAGGAATATTGTAAGGTGTGATTTTCACCCACCACCACACACGTCCCGAGGTCATTCTCTTGCCTTTAACCCAAGCCCTTGTGATCCTCTCTCAATTCTCGCTCTAATCCTTTCCACAATGTTCGTTCTTCTAACGCTCCAATAAGAAAATTCACGATTTTTAGTTGGAAATTTTTACATTCTGCTTCATATGTGTTGCCACAACAGTTAGTGTTGGTTTGTTTCATGAATTTTGATGATGGATTTAGGTTTCGAATCCAACTCGTTATGAATTTTGAATTTTGTTGAATAATAAAATCTATAGGCTCTTAGACTTTCAGGGTCCGAATATAGGGCCCCTTGAACTTGTAAATTCCATATCCAGATGTTCAATTTGGGGCATGACCAGAAATTAGCAATCTAATAAAAAGCATTCATAATCAAATCTAATAAGCATGTAATAGACTTTTTCAGATCTCTAATGTCAACAAATTTATAAGAAATCTAAGATTTTTAAAAATTCAAAATTTATAAAAACTTATCATTTTTCAAATCTATAAAGCAAATGACCTTTTGATCGTTTACTAACATGGACTTAATATAGGACTGTATGCTTTCCAAGTTTGGTTATGAAGAAGCGAAATGGATAGAACCAGAATGACTTTCCGAGACCTCTATAACCACACTTTTTTTGAAGTGGTCGTTTGCTTTAAAAGTTAAAGTAAGCATACAACTCTGCAAATGAAAATTTGGAAAAAGTTCAAAAGCGCTTAATCCTCACACTTATTTATAGAGATTCTCCATCTAAACATGCTCCATTTAAAATTTCTAGCTCTATGAGAAAACTTAGGAGGATATTTTTGTCATGTGTATTTGTTATAAAAAAAATGTAACAAACTCTATGCATAACCCCTATAAAAGTGACTATTGGTCTAAAAAAAAGTTATTTCTTAATAATTAAATAAGGGTAATACTTAGCTGCAACCTAGGTTGCCGCCTGCTCCTGCTACCCCTCCACATGCCGTCTCCTCATTGGCTTTTTTTTTCATTTTCCAAAAACTTCAAAATCTCATTTAATTTTACAAACACGGTTTATCAATTTCACGGCCACCACACCCAGTATGCCGGCGAGGATTTGGACCGGACACAGCTTGGGGGATTGTTTGGCGATTCTTGCCGCATTCGATCCCATCGATCCCATCGAAACACTCCGGTGACCGGCAATCGTGTACAACAGCCCGCAAAAAGGAAAGAGAACATTAGACGAAAGGGTGAAATCCTTCGACAACCTGAAAATCCTTCACGTACAGAAGAAAACCGACCTTCTGATGCATTACCTCGGGCCACTGCTAGGCTATGTATCGACATTGGCGACAGATCTGGTTATCGACGCCATGGGAAATCATCCACATGCGTATATGATAAACAATCAAATTAAATGGGCTTTTGAAGATTTTGGAAAATGAAAAAAAAAAGATAGCCAATGAGGAGACGACATGTGGAGGGGTAGCAGGAGCAGGCGGCAACCTAGGTTGCAGCTAAGTATTACCCATTAAATAATTGACAAGTAAGAGACTATTACCACTCTTCACGTCTCAACTAATTATTATATTTCTATTTGATAATTCATTTGATATAAAACAATTATCAATAAACAACATTTTTAATATTTAGGACTCAACTTTAGTTGCGGATTCTTCAACATATGAGTTTGTTGTTTCTTTTCTTTTCTTAACATGAGTTTGTTGTCTCCAAGGTTGGATTTTTAGAGTTGATGCTGAAAAGTTATTAATCCTCACACTTATTTATAGAGATTCAACATCTAAACATGCTCCATTCAAAATTTTTAGCTCTATGAGAAAACTTAGGGAGGATATTTTTGTCATTTGTATTTGTTATAAAAAAAATGTAACAAACTCTACGCATAACCCCTATAAAAGTGACTATTGCTCTAAAAAAAGTTATTTCTTAATAATTAAATAATCCTCCTCACACTTATTTATAGAGATTCTCCATCTAAACATGCTCCATTCAAAATTTCTAGCTCTATAAGAAAACTTAGTGAGGATATTTTTGTCATGTGTATTTGTTATAAAAAAAATGTAACAAACTCTACGCATAACCCCTATAAAAAGTGACCAAAGGTAAGATAGCCTAACGGTAAAGCTGCCGCAACAGTGAAGGCTTGGGAGTTGCAGATCCCAAGTTCGAATCCAAGCGAGGCCCGTTGGTGTTCCCGGAGGTACAAGGCTGCTGGGGGCGAAGCCCCGTTGGCGTCAAATTAAATGCAAGTGGCCCCCAGGTTTAGTAGGATCCGCTGTCACAAAGTGGCACGTGGGGCTGAGGTTCCTGGGTATAAAAAAAAACCCTATAAAAGTGACTATTGCTCTAAAAAAAAGTTATTTCTTAATAATTAAATAATTGATAAGTAAGAGACTATTATCACTCTTCACGTGTCAACTAATTATTATATTTCTATTTGATAATTCATTGGAAATAAAACAATTATCAATAAACAACATTTTTAATATTTAGGACTCAACTTTAATTGCGGATCTTCAACATATGAGTTTGTTGTTTCTTTTCTTTTCTTAACATGAGTTTGTTGTCTCCAAGGTTGGATTTTTAGAGTTGATGCTGAAAAGTTATTAAAAATAATGGAAGAATAATATATCCTCTCTCTTATATCTTATTAAATGAAGAAATGGAGTATTTACAAAAAATAGATTGTAATTTAAGTTCCACACCAGATTTAGTGGTTAAAAAATGTAGTCAAAATAGCATTTTAAATCTTAAAACTTTACGATTTTAGGTTATCAAAATTAATCTACACAGAATCACACTTTTTGACTACATTTTGTGCAATAATGCCGTCAAAGCGTTTTCAAGGTCAAAAGTTTATGCTTTTACGCTTCTCGGTCACCGAAACGCTTCTAACTAGAATCATGCTTTGAATGTGTTGGTTAGTACACCACAAATCCCAACAGAATTAAGATTTTCGAAGATAATCAATGATCTCCAGCAACAGTTGTGACTAGAATGAGGTGAATCCTTTGTTGTGAAAATTATTTTTCATATATGGTTAAGTTTAGGTATTGTTTGCTTTTCGGATTTGACACCCAAATCCCAAGAGTCAAGGAGTTGGCACAAATCCATCGTTTGATAAGGGACACAAATCGGTGGGGCTCACGAATTTGCAAATCCCACATTTCATTTGAGACCTATGGTAAAAATTAACTTAACAAACAATAATATTAGTCTTTTTTGAATACCCATAATACTGTGTCATGAAGTTTATTATGAGTTGATATTCCTTCCATGAGTCCTACAATTTTAACTTCAACCAGAATCTGCATATATAGAATACAATGATTACAAAGTAATAATATGTATAATGAATACTCATTTTCTATTTTCTCAATAATTGAATAATTTCACTTTCTTAATGGCCAACTATATTGGTATTTTTAAAAATTGATAGAATTACTTTTTAATTTGCATTACATTCACATATTATCATGACGCGAATATAAAAGAAGAGAATATCACTAGAATTTAAACTTTGAACATTTGTTATCTACGATTATCGATCATTTTGCAACCGGCCAACGGGCCGGGGTATGATCTAGTATTACATAACGTATAAGTGGACGAATTCCAAAAATACACATGTTTTTAAAAAAAATTCTCAAATACACACGTTATAAAAAAAAATTCCCAAAATACACATGTTTGGGCATCACCGCTGTTGTCAACCGCAGTGAATGCATTCACCGCGGCAGACCAAAGCGGTGAATGCAGATGACGGCCGCGGTGAATGCCCGACTTAACACTGAAACTTCAAACAAACGTAACTTTGCGCTCGATTATCCGATTGTAGCGAAATTTTTTTTGATTCCATATAACTTTTCAAGATCTTTCAATCTGCAACAAGACTTCATCTCAAAAAAATGTCTTTTGTTACCCAGAACGAGCAATTTTTCGATTTTTCTAAACTTTGGAAGGACATAACTTTTAGCTCCTTAATCCGAACGTCGTAAAGTTTTTTTTGATTGCGCATGACTTTTTAAGAACTACAACTTTGACTAGGAAATAATTTTTTTTAAAAGAAGTATTTTTGGGTATACGGGATTTTGGGAATAACTTTGCCTTTACTTTTCACAAATCCACATACTTTGCAAAATTATGGTTATAATCAAAGTTGTAGTACTTCAAAAGTTATGCAAAATCAAAAAAAGTTTTATGACATTCGGATTGTGGAGCACAAAGTTATGATCTTCCAAAGTTTGTCAAAATCGAAAAAATTGCTCGGTCGGGGTAGCAAATGATTTTTTTTTGGGATGAAGTCTTTTTTCAGATTGAAAGATCTTGAAAAGTTATGTGGAATAAAAAAAAATTCGCTACAATCGGATAACCGAGCGCAAAGTTACGTTTGTTTGAGGTTTCAGCGTTACGTCAGGAATTCACCGCGGCCGTCAACCGCGGTGATGCATTCACTGCTTTGGTATGCCGCGATGAATGCATTCACTGCGGTTGACAACAGCGGTGATGCCCAAACATGTGTATTTTGAGAAATTTTTTTTATAACGTGTGTATTTTAGGAATTTTTTTTAAAACATGTGTATTTTGGGATTTTTCCCCGTATAAGTTACCTTTCGACGCTCCTTTGAAAAACTCCAATTTGATGTACATTTAGAATGTGACGAATTGGATAACGAATCAAATAAAAAGACACCGAACACACAATCTAACATGTGTTGGCAATACTTACTGTACATAAGAAGATTCGATCTTTTTATTATTGTTGTGATTAGAGTTGTGACACACAAAAACTCCACCCATTATACTTTCTCGGCTAGAGCTGTGATTAGAAGTTTCTATTATTTTGTGATAATGATTAGATGTTTCTATTATTGTTGTCATCACAGACAATCACAGTAAGATCACTAATAAAACTAAAATGTGCAAATAGCGTAATGTAACACATGAACATCCCGAATGCCTAGCTCGGACGGAAGGCAATCAATGCAACTGAATATTGCAGAAAACAACTAGAAGTGAAAATTTTGCAGCACTGAATATTGCAGAAAACAACATGCTTATGCTTATGTACAAAATAACAATACATCTGATCTACAGTTTGGCATTCTCATGAAACACTAGGTTAGCGGAAATGTGGAGTGCAAATTAATTGTCACAGTAAAAAGAAGTAGGAATCAACCTGAAAGAATCAAACTCACTAATAAGCTAAATTTCCAAAGGACCTCACTGATAGTGCTAGTTAGTCATGTCACGGGTCAATGATCATATTTGATGGTCACCTATGACAAATTGAACGAAATTTCATAGCGAGTTGATAATGATGTGAACGGATTTAAGAAACTGAAAAGTTTTAAGTGACAAATGTGAAAGAAACTAATAAATCGAGTGACCAAATATATGATTTAGTAAACATTAGTATATAAACTATATATATAGAATCTAGGTCGAAAATCAAACTCTCCACCGCAACCCTTTATGAGTTCAGCCGACTCTAGCTCTTACGTCAAAGCGCAACTGAAAAGATGGATTTCTCAATTCGCGTCGCCGTAGAAACCATTCTCAACGAAGTTAGCGGCGACGGCGTTGCCAGAAACGTCATCGTATCTCCTGCATCTCTGGATATCTTGCTCCGGTCACTGGCTTGCGGAGCCAAAGGCCCAACTCTGGCCCAGATGCTCGATTTGCTCGGAGCACATGGCATCGAAGATCTCAACTCCAAAGCCGCCGCAACCATGGAAGTCTTGCGCTTAGCCGCACCTGAAAACAATCCACCCGTCGTTGCCGATGTTGATAACGACGACGACGACAGCAGGCCGTACCGGAGGCGGAGGCCCAAATACGACGATGAGGATGTCCCGGCAATCGTTTCCTGCGGCAACGGGATCTGGGTTGATCGCCGGTTCACTGTCAAGGCTTCTTTCGGGAAGCTCCTTGCCGAAATTTATCGGGCAAAGTCCAGCAGTGTCGATTTACAATCCCGGGTACTTTCTGGTCTCTCTATGATTTAGAAGTCCACCGACTTCTTCGTTCACAAGTTATAACAGAAATAGATTAATCTTTACATTAGTAATGTGCAAAAGAGGGATGGAATTGATTTGAGCAAAATGCAGTTTTGATTTAAATCATGTACTGCACTAGAGATTGATGAGAAGCAACCGTGCATGGGATACAGATATGGAACGATTAATTAACTTCACTGTCTGCAGCCAGAGGAAGCGGTGAAGGAAATCAACGCATGGGCTGAAAAATCAACAAATGGGCGCATAGACAACGTGTTGAGCCCTCAAGATATTGAAAGCAACACAGCGTTAGTACTCACAAACGCACTCTACTTCAAAGCAATGTGGTATGGCCGGTTCTTCCCACACTGCACCAGCAACAACGACTTCTACCTCCTCGACGGGACCACCACCGTCACCGTGCCATTCATGAGAATGTGGAAACATACATACTATTATGCATCCTTTGACGAGTTCAAGGTCTTGAAGCTGGGTTACCAGTCGGGGCGAAGTAACGGATCCCCTAGTTTCTCCATGTACTTTTTCCTCCCGCACAAGCCAGATGGGCTGCCAGAGATGCTGGACCATCCCCTGTTCCGCAGCTCTGAGGCATTATCACAAACACTTGGCGGGCTTGAGCCGGTGAGGCTGAAAAAGGTTCGGATTCCCAAGTGGAAGTTCGCCCGGAAGTTCGAGCCCACGGAGACGATGGAGAAGCTGGGTCTGACGCTGCCGTTTAAATTGACGGGAGACCTGGCCGAGATGCTGGAGGAAGGTGGGGAGTTGTTGTATGTTTCCAAGGTGATTCAGAGTGCTTGCATTGCTGTGGACGAGGATGGTACGGAAGCTGCTGCTGTGTCGGCAGTTCTTCCGGGGCATGGAGCTGTCCGATATTCTCCTCCGCAGGAGAAGTTCATTGCGGATCATCCCTTCGTGTTTATGATCGTGGAGAGCAAGTCTCAGGTTGTGCTTTTCGCTGGAGCTGTGTTCAATCCCCTGGATCAGGAGTAGCTATGGCCTTTTGGTGAAAGATTGCTTCGTTTTGTTTGTGACTTATTTTGTTGATTTCGTGTTATTATGCTATTATTATTCATTGCTGGGATTTTGTTAATATAGTGCTGGTCCTTTCTGATCAAATCTCATGTCGTCCAAGTCAAAGGCCAATGCCTACAAAAATTCATACTCAAACTGGTTGGTGGAGTGCCACCTGAGACCAGACATATGTTTGAAGAAAAACACTATCACGAAAGACGATAGAATGATGCAAGACGATATTGACGTTGATACTTCATGGAACCTGATTACATGCTGGCAAACAAAAGAACATACCCGATTCTTCCTCTAGCAAACCATTCCTGGAGGTATTAGTGTGAAAATAAGCTCAAGTTTTGATGTTTCACTTAGCTCATACACTCCATGAGAATAGAACTATAGACTGGCCTGGAAAGCATAGTCACGTCTCTTCTTGAATATTTCTGGTTGTATAATGAATTGACAAATCCCTCGATGGCAATGGGGTAATTTTTCCCAAACCCAAGTATACAAATTCATTATGGGTAGAGTATGGGGAAGTGTATATGGATTTGGGGGGCTCTAGATGAGTTTGGGTATGATATGGATCTTGCTTCTATAATCTAAATGGGTATGGATACATATTTACTTTGAGCAGGGTATGGATCTTACTTATATAATCTAAATGGGTATGAGTTGGGTAAAACTTAAAAAGTGGGAAGCTTCAACCGAGACGATCTTGCCTCCAAAGGCGCAATCGTATCTGGTCCGCCAGAGGGACTAGCACACAAGGCCGAACGCTAAAGGACTCGCTACCCAGGTTGGAGAAGAACCGATCCTGCAAAATTGACTGTCAAAAATGCTTTGGTGATCAGAAAGCGGGACAAACTGGATCCAAGTTAACCTGAAAAATGACAATTCTGCAACACATGTATGATTGTATCAAGGCGATCTTTGCAGTGGCTGCACATGGGTAAAGTTGTCAGGTGGCACCAAATACGTTCTTGGTTTGTCAATAGGCGCTCTTTAACTACTAACCAGAGGAAATGAGGAACTCTGGCCGGTCCTTGCCATCTTCATATCTTTTTAGTGTTTGTCAAGCTGTTCCACGTCATTATTACGTACCGACGATACAATACACATAACTAACTTGAAACTTCTCATCTCTTTCAGGCCCTCACGCTAGGATGTCGTCACCTACGTCAGACTGAGGGGGCCGGACTCCAATTATCTGCAAAATAGCAACCTTCAGTAAGTACTATTTTATTTGGGGGATGTTCCACTGATCACTTGTTGGAGTGGCGAAGTGTGCCACAGATTATGAAATGTCCACTATGAAGAATGGTATAAAATCTTGCTTATGTTCTATTATTCATCAGTAGAATTTATACAATGGATTTGAGTACATGGGCAGATCGTGCAATATGGTTGGAGAGATTTGGGGTAACAGATGGGAGTGTGGAATCAGCTACTGGTGTAACGGGAAAATGCTCACAGCTTCAGCTAACCTCCCGCTGAAGACCCGGTCAGCCTTATCACTCCCCCGCAAGTTGAAGGTCGGTGACCTTCAACTTGGTTCGAAAGTGCTGGAATCGGTGGCGAGGGAGAGGCTTGGTCAGCAGGTCTGCAATTTGATCATTGGTTGAGATGTAACGGACTAGTAATTGACGAGCAGCCACACGTTCGCGGACAAAGTGAAAGTCGATCTCCATGTGCTTGCTACGAGCATGAAAGACAGGGTTAGCTGTGAGATAAGTGGCGCCAATATTATCACACCAGAGCTTCGGAGGGGAAGGCAAGGTGTGCCCAATTTCAACAAGGAGAGATTGTAGCAAAATAATCTCGGCAGCTAGTGTGGCAAGTGCCTTGTACTCAGCTTCAGTGGAGGAGCGGGCAACCGTGCGTTGTTTGCGAGAGGACCAGGAAATCAAATGAGAGCCGAGATAGACAGCATAGCCGGTGGTGGAGCGCCGGTCCGCAACACTATTGGCCCATGCTACATCGGAGTATCCGGACAACTGCGGTGATGAATGGTAGCTGAAAAACAAACCATGATTAGTAGTACCACGAAGATAACGCAAGATGCGTTTGACATCCGTCCAATGATGTTGGAGAGGCTGATGCATATGCTGAGCGCAGTGATTTAAAGCTTGAGCAATGTCGGGGCGGGTGAACTGGAGATACTGTAAGGCACCAACAATCTGACGATAAAGAGTACCATCTGGAAATTGTGTAGAATCTTGTTCAGTAGTGGTTGTGGCAGCAGGAGTGGCAAGGGCATTTGCTGTGGTCATCTTCGCACGGGCTAGAATGTTATTGATGTACTTGCGCTGAGACAGAAGGAGACCTTTGGAGGACCATAGGGCTTCGATTCCAAGGAAGTAAGAGAGCCGACCAAGATCCCGGACTGCAAATCGACTGTTAAGATATAGAAGGAGTTCCTGCAATGCAGCCGGCTGATTGCCAGTTATGAGAATGTCATCAACATATACGAGGACATACAGACGTAAAGAGCCACGACAGAGAATGAACAACGAGGTGTCTATCTTTATCCACGAAATCCATAAGCCTCCAATGCACGGCGGAGGCAGTGAAACCAAGCTCGCGGCGCCTGTTTGAGGCCGTAGAGTGACTTCTGTAGGTGGCAAACATGGTTGGGTCATGTTGGATCAACAAAACCAGGCGGTTGCTGCATAAAAACATCTTCACTCAAAGTACCGTGAAGAAATGCATTGGCAATGTCCAATTGACGAACAGGCCATTGCTGGGAGACAGCAAGAGAGAGGATGAGCCGCAGGGTGGTTGGTTTGAGAACCGGACTAAATGTGTCGCCGAAATCAATACCGGGGCGCTGTTGGAAGCCACGGGCAACAAGGCGGGCCTTGTACCGTTCAATCGAGCCATCTGATTTGGTCTTGATGCGAAATAACCATTTACAAGTGATTACATTCTGTGAGGGAGAGCGTGGTACCAGCCGCCAAGTATGATTCTTGAGTAGAGCAGTGTGCTCCTCCGTCATTGCTGCGCGCCAGAGTGGGTGAGAGAGTGCCTGTTTAGTAGTAGTGGGAAGGCGAGGCAAGGTGGCATTTTGGTTTGAAATGGGCGGTTTGTGTGCGAGTGATCGGGCGGCGAGGAAGGGGCGGGATGGTAGAGGCTAGAAGAGGGCGAGGAGAGGTGTTGAATCGGGGAAGAGAGGCTGGTGGAACGGGGCGCCGAGTTCTATTGGAGCGAGGTAAAGTGGGTGGTGGTGGGAAATTGGGTTGGGACGAGGGGAGTTGGGTAGAAGTGGGGATGGTGGGCTGGGTTTGGGCAGTGGTGGGTGAATTGGGTTTGGGAGGTGATTGTGGGCTAGCGGTGGGTGGGACAATGTTTGGGCCGGGAATGGGAATTGGTGGCGGGGAAAAGAAGGGAGGAGGGAGGGGCTTAATTGAGGGGAGGTGGAGAATATGGGCAGGGGGTTAGGAGAGGCAATTACAGTGGTAAATCGGTAGTCTTTAAAGGGGAAACAAGTCTCATCAAATAGAACATGACGGGAAATATGTATTTTGTGGGTAGATAGGTTGTAACAACGATAACCCTTGTACATAGGGCTGTAGCCGAGAAAGACACATGCTGAGGAGCGGGGTTGAAGTTTATGATGAGTGAGTGGGCGTAACCAAGGATAACATAGAGTGACAAAAATGCGGAGACTAGAATAATTTGGTGGTTGGTGATGAAGGACCTCAAGTGGTGTGCGTGAGTTGAGTAGGGGGGTCGGTAAGCAATTGATGAGATACACGGCAATGTAAAAAGCATAGGGCCAAAATTTGATAGGAACAGAAGCATGGTGAAGAAGGGCGAGGCCAGTTTCAACGATATGTCTGTGTTTGCGTTCCACACAACCATTCTGTTCGGGGGTATATGGACAAGAGGAACGATGTTGAATGCCATGTGTTTGAAGATAGGAGCTTAACTTTTGATACTCCCCACCCCAATCCGCTTGGAAAATTTTTATCGGACGATTGAAAAACATTTCAACATGGGTACGAAAACGAATGAAGATGTCAAGGAGATTTGATCGATAACGAGTGGGGAATATCCATGTGAATTTGCTGAAATGATCATAGAATAAAATGTAGTAAATATGACCATCATACGAGAGTTCGGGTGCAGGACCCTAGACATCACTACAATTTAAATCCAAGGGACCTTGACCATGAAAGGTAGAGACAGGAAAGGGAAGTTTGTGTATTTTAGCCACACTACAACCATGACAAAGGCTATGATCACGATTATTGGAAACAGAAAGAGAATGATCACGGAGAATTTGATGAAGCACACGTTAGTGAGGATGACCGAGGCGTTGGTGCCAATGAGAGAGAGTTGTGTGGAACGCATGATGAGCAGCTGGAGGAATGATGGATAAGGGAATGCTGTAAAGCCCGTCATGACTCTGACCGCGATGTAGAACTTTCTGGGAGCGCGTGTCCTTAATGACAAAAGAATTATCAACAAAGTGAATAGACAAGGGATTAGTACGAGTAAGGGCATTGATAGAGATAAGATTACGTGAGGCAGAAGGGACATGGAGAATTTTAGATAAGTGTAAAGGATTGTGACAAAGAGAAGCACAAGAGGAACCAGAGTGGGTAATAGGAAGAGATTTACCATTGCCAAAAGAGACTTCATCGGGACCTTGGTATTCAGAGTGAAGGGCAAGGTTGTTTAGGTCGGAGGTGAGATGGTAATTGGCGCCCGAGTCGAGTAGCCAATCCTGCGAGTTAGGGGAGTAGGTGTGATGAGCTGCTGGGTAATGGTGAGCGGGCGAGTAGGCGCGATTATTGTGGGCTGGTGATGCGCATTGTTTGGCTGTATGGCCAAACCCGCGGCAGGTGTAACACTGGAGAGTAGCAGAGGACGGAGGAGGGCGCACGTTGGGCCTGGGCCCAAGAAGATCGGAGCCAGTACCTGTTCCATACACAGATGAATGTGAGCCGTCAAAAAGAGGAGAAGGAGGGTACCCTCGGCCGCCGCGGCCACGACCACCGGAACGACCGGAACCCCGCCCGCGAAAACTGCGACCGCCGCGTCCATAGTGAGCAGAGGGAGCACCATCGTGGAGAAGATTGTGCTGCTGGAGGCGCTGCTCCTCTCGAAGAAGAAGCCCATGGAAGTCGTCGAAGGATATGGGATCGGATTTGGCTTCAATAGCTCGGACGAACGGGAGGAAATTTTCGCCGAGTCCCTTGAGGCAGCGGTCGACCAGATCATCGTCTGAGACAGGAAGATTGATAGCGGCAAGGCGATCAGCAGCCTCTTTGGCTCGTTCAAGATAGTTCTCGATGGATTCATTGCCGCACTTGAGAGTCTGAAATTGGTCCTTCAGTTGGCGGATGCTGTGGGGATTTTTAGAGCCATATGCAGCGGTGAGACGCGTCCAGACATCGGAAGCAGTTGTGCAGCCGATAAGCTTGGGGAGGACAGCTTCGGAGAGGGAAGCCACGATCCAAGAGAGAACGAATTGATCCCGTTTGTACCAAACAACATACTCAGGATTGGGGTTGCCATCAATCTATCGTGCTGGAGAGGGGAAAGAGCCGTCGATATGTTTGACAAAGTCGAAGCTCGTGAGGAGAGGGAGAAGCTGAAGTTTCGAGAGGAGAAAATTCTTGGGGTTGAGTTTGACAGCAATGGGTGGGAGATTTGGGTGAGGAAGAGAAGGAGATGAGGAGGCGCTGGTGGCATCAGATGATGTTACACCAGACATCGTTGATGAAAGCTGGATAGATAATAAAGGAAGAAAAGAAAGAGACGGTCAAGGAGGCAGGAGGTACGAGAAAGAGAAAGAAGGATCAGAGATGCTGTGAAGCTATGGGAGGCTCTGATACCATGAAGAATGGTATAAAATCTTGCTTATGTTCTATTATTCATCAGTAGAATTTATACAATGGATTTGAGTACATGGGCAGATCGTGCAATATGGTTGGAGAGATTTGGGGTAACAGATGGGAGTGGGGAATCAGCTACTGGTGTAACGGGAAAATGCTAACAACTTCAGCTAACCTCCCGCTGAAGACCCGGTCAGCCTTATCACACTAGAGGGCTATCCTCTCTAATCAAATATGTTAGGAGCTCCCAAGAGTCGACCTACTGGTAGGGCCAGAACTGAGTATCCTGACCATATTTTATACTCATCTACGTTCCTGCCGCCATAATTGGCCATGCCTTCCTTATCCCACGTCACACTTGTTGACCATCGGATACTAGATTTGGCCTCTAATGAGCCATGGTGAACTTTGAAGTAATTAGCCAATAAAACATGCCCCCATAACTCATTCGGATACTTAATAAAACGCCAAGCTAGCTTAGCTTGGAATGCCATGTTCAGTTCATGAGCTTTTCGAAGCCCCAATCCGCCCTCCTCCTTCAGTTTGCATACTTTCTCCCAATTCACAAGATGGATTTTCCTAGACATGGTGGTCGAACCTCATATAGAGCTCCACGCCCGCCGATCGATTTCGTCAGAAATGGACATAAGGACCAGTGTTGTTTGCATAGGGTACATCAACAGCGAGTTAAGCACCAAAACTGCAAAAAAAAGACCCTACTTGCAAGACTAAGCAAGTTGGCTTTCAAACCTGCATGTTTTTTTGTCAATACAGTCTAGGATATACTTGTACGTGTCTCTAGTGATCCTCAAATGTAAGACAAGATCACCAAGATACTGTCTAAGGTTCTGTGTAGTAGGAATACTCATATTGCAAACAAAATCCGCACTTACCTGTCTTGGCGTGTTCTTAGAAAAGAACACCACAGATTTGTCCTTACTTACTTTTTGCCCAGAAGCTAGACCGAACTTCTCCAGGAACTCCAACAAGACGTGTCCCTGCTTGCTGGCTACTGCAAACAGGATCAAATCATCTGGAAAGAAAGAGTGAGATAGAGGAGGCGCACCTGGTGAATTTTAATTTGTTTCCATCGCCCTTCATTCACAACCTTTTCGATGATTTAGTTGAGTCTCTCCATGCATAGGATGAAGAGATATGGTGACAAAGGGAACCCCTACTGTAGCCCTCGTGATGGGGTGAAAGGCTCAGTAAGACTACCATTACATAGCTCTTGCATTGTACAGGAAGAAATGTAATCCATGATTGTCGTCACTAGTCTTCGAGGAAAGCCGACTAGTTCCAAAGTCTCTCGAACGAATGACTATTTCAGTCTATCATAAGCTTTGGCCAAGTAGATTTTTGCCACCATTTTCCCCTTCTTCCCTTTTTTCAACCCCATTGAGTGCACAACCTCTTCTTCTCTGGCTTCTATCCCAATCCTAGAACCCTAAAAGAGAACGAGGCCGTGAACGAATGGTCATGCCACTGTAATTCAGCATGGAGGTCCTAGGTTCGAATCTTAGAAACGACGTTTGTTTCCTCTCCTCCCACACCTATAGTAGCACCTTGTTACAGGTTTCTGTAAATAAATAAATAAATATTTTGAGAACCCAACAAACCCAAATCTGAACAAATTTGGTACATAACCTCAATCTCTACTATCCATCCTAAGATTGATTTGAACCATGAATCAATAGATCTGAGTGTACATCACCTTACTTGTGCCAAACCAAGCGGGGACAGACCTAAAAATTGAATAGATACTAGCAAAAGCTCGCTCGTTATCGATTCGCGTATCAGAAAAATAAATATTTTAAAGAGTAATGGTATTAATGTTGACCCAAAAGTGAAAGTACTCTTATTTCATTCTTAATCATTCTTTTCATAAGTTTGTTATTTACAATAGCATATGGTTGATGAACTTTCATAAGGTAGAAGGGTATTCGAATAGATTATTTATGTTTAAAACTTCTTTCATGACGCTATTGTTTCAATTTGTATGGCTAGTAGTTGATCCTGCTGTAACTTTTGCAGAATGAGGCAGCTACTCTGGATCTTTTCAAGAAGTATTTAAAAAAACAGTTTAGTGTTTGGTTGAAAAACTATGAGAATTATTTTCTAATATATATAAGAGGTAATGTAAAATGACTAAAAAAGATTTCTAACATAAAATATGAATACAAATTCTAAAAATTAAAAAATAATTAAAATGGATCACGTTAGATTTATTTCATTTTAAATAATATTATTTTTCAATTTATTTTTTACAGTGATATAAATGAAATAAAATTATTTTTCTGGAAAAAGAATAATATATGGTGACAATTTTGTATTATAAGTTACGAAAAACTTAAACTTTTTAAAAAGTGAAACTTTAGTGGTGTTTGGCTTGGTTTCAACTTTTGAAACATAAAACTTCTAAAATTCGGGCCAAACATAGTCGTACTCTTTTGAATTTTTTTATTTTGGGTTTGAGGTAATCGTGGTTCTCCTTTATGAAAATTTTGGACTGATTGCAGGTTTGAGGAGGTTCGACTAGCATTGATCGGGTCAAATTAGGTTGGATACCCTTGAATTTGGGTTCAATTGTCTTTCTAAAACAAAAGGAAAATGTGAAATGAAAAACACTAACGCTAAAACTCGCTACCGATTCAAAACTCGTCAACTCCAGGTTCACCTGACTTTGATCTAGTTGGAGTAAGTTTTGGGTAAATTCACACCTAACACAACCCGGCAATTACAAAAATAGATAAAACTCACCCTCGCCGAAAACCTGTGAACCAAGTTCAAGTCGCTTTGGTTGGGTCGAATTAGGTTGGATACCCGTGCGTTTGGACTCAATTGTCATTCTCAACCAAATATATATAAAAATACTAAAGCGGAAAAAACTCGCTCACGACCCCAAACTCTCAACACTACATTCAACTCGCTTTGACCGGGTCGACCTAGTTTTAACAACTCACAATTAACCCAACCTGTCAAATAGAAAAGCGGATAAAAATCGCTCTCGATATGAAATGCGTCAACAATAGGTAAGAGTTCCATTGTCATTTTGGTTCTACATTTTTGAATGGTGACGATGGGAGGAAAACTAAAATTGACGGTTCAACGTTTATGGTGATGAGTCGATGTTGAAGGCTGGACCTAAACTTCAATTGGAAGTCCGGCGAGGAGCGAGGAAGTGTCGAATTGAGTTGGAGATCCTTGAGGAAGAAATCCCTAATTTGCTCGATGAATTTTGTGATGCTTTCGTGAAGAAGAAGGCTCAAAATTTGAGAGCAAAGCTTTTTCAAGGGGGGAGGGGGGCTGATATGATCCCAAATTGCTTGCATTACAAGCTTACATGGATTGATCAAGAAGCAAGTTCAATTGGGAAGAAGGAGGCCTACTTGGGAGGCTTGGTTCTTACAATTGGCTCGATGGAAATTTAAGAAGAGAGTTTAGGAATGAATCCAAAATGCTATCTAGAAAGCTTAAATCTACCTAGCAATGGCTAAGTATGGAACCGTGTTCGAGAAGCATATTTTGGAGCTTTATTCAAGGAAGATGAAGGAGAGTCGATGCCAGAGAGTTATGCCACATGAAAGTACATATTTTACTACTACCTAAAGTAATTGGCTAATAGATTGAAGATCATTTGATTCATGTATGAGACGCCCAAAGATGCTAGGCAGAACCGTTTGTTTCTTGTGTAGGAAGGCAGAAATTCTTATGGCACAAGGATTCATATAGAATTAGTTTCCAAGTTGTATTAGGTTTATTTTAAGGTTCTTTTACCCTAGTTTTGAGTTTGTTCTTTGCCTATAAAAGGCTCAAGTCGTGTTTGTAAAATTCAGAATGGAATAGATCAATTTTTCCCCTAATTCTCAAGCTTGTGAGTTTGTGAGTTTGTTTGGGTTTGGTGCGTCCAAAACTTGCTGAACCCTAGCCTATTGATTGAGAGATCCCACTCAGTTACCTTGAAGGAAGTCTTATAATGATTGTCATTGACAATGAGTATGGTGTCCCACGGCACGTGGTACTCTTCGACCACGCAGTCGTAGGTGGAGATAACAAAAGTCATTGTCGGGTGAAAAGTGAAACCCTAGTTCTTAGGTATTTCTCATTCACACTTTGATATCAATAGGCAAAAGCATGGCACTACAAGAGATATCATGTGCAGGCTAGCATTTGGAGACATAACAAAGATAAACATGACAAACTCAAACTAAAGTCTAAGTGCGCATAACATTGACATAAAACTAAACTTGATGATGATAATTTCCGCTAAACCTGTCAATCCACTTTGAAATTTGTGGTCGTCGGTTTGAGTTTTGACGATTACTTGTAATATCTCCTGATACCTATGGTGTATTTGGATAATTTAGTTTGGTTAATTTGGATAATTGGTTTGGTTAATTATAATTATGTGTGGATTTTTATGTGTTATTCATTATATAAATTGCAAATTGATGCACTAACGAGAAATTTTTCTCACTTAATGATAATGTGAAGGTATATTGGTTAGTTTGGTTAACCAAATGACCAAACCGATTAAACTCTAGTGTGGTTTATTTGGTCGTTGTATTAGTTTGGACTGTTTGGTTATATTCCATGGCTAATAGAATTTAATCTTATTTGGTTTGGTAATTACCATGGTAACCATTTGAATAGTATCAATGATACCCCCGCAAGCGGGTGTGCACAAAATGTGCACACCAAGCTTGGAGAGTGAATACAGTCTTGACTTGAGAATGTTGTTGCACTGGGCTTGCTAACTTCCCTTCAATCTTCAATTGGTTAAGTTGTTGCATCTTGCTTGCTGGCTTCCCATACATCTTCTAAACAACTGTTGCATCTGTGGCTAGCCAGCTATCAAATCTTCTGGTGATACCACTTCATCTTGGCTAGTTGGCATCCCATCATCATCATCATCATCATCATCATCATCATGTTCTTAACCTTCTACTTCTTCTTCTTCTTCTTCAACTCCTCAACCTCCAACTTCAGCTTTGTAGCTTCAGTATCTCCAGATAAGTTAGGATATGTTGTTGCTTTTTCTTGGCTAGCTAGAACTCCTTCAATCAAAAATACCACTGCATCTTTGCTAGTTGGCTTTACTTTCATATCTTCAGCTTTTCAGCTTTAGATGTATCTTCAATTTGGTTGAGATATGCTGCTGCATTTTTGTCTGGCTAGCAATCCTTCCCATAAAAGACCGAATTCATCAAGGGAGTGCTTGTTGGCTACTTCCCTCAACTGCTCCAATTTGATGATGATATGCTGCGACTACTTGAGCTAGCTAGCATTCAAAAGAAAATGACTTGAAACTCAACAGAGGTGTTCCCACTGCTAAAATATCTGATTGTTGCCTTCTCTTTCTTTTGCTGAAACAATGACATTTTTTTGTTGCTGCTGAAACTTGTAGCTTCTTCTTGTTCTCCTGCTTACCGATTGTACATGGGCACTAGGCTATGCTTGGGCCGGCATGGCACAGGCATGCTTCAGGCCCATTTATTTTGTGTCGTGCTTGGCATGGCCTGTCAATTTTCGTGTCGTGCCGCGCAAGCCCATTTGTTAACTTTGTTAGGCCCAGTCCAGGCCCGAGCACGGTTCGAATCGTGTCATTCCTATTCGTGCTTGTGTCGTGCTCGTATTCGTGTTTAATGGAAATGATGAAAATGAAAGTGAAAATTGGACGGATAAAGATAGTACTAATCGAGAATGTTTGAGAAAAGTAACAAATAGGGGGGGGGGGATTGGAAGTATAATGGGTGTGATATTGACTTTGTTTAATTCTTCATCCATTTTTACTAATGGTAGTAATTACATATATATATATATATATATATATATATATATATATATATATATCTTTATGACACTTCTAAGAACCACAAATAATAGTTTTTCTACTTGTATTTCGTAAATTTGAACCTTTAATTATTTATATATATTTTTCTATCAAATAAATATTATTTTCGTGCAATTTGCGTTCTTATACTTAATAAAGTCTTGAAAACATTAGGCCCAACATGGGCCATTTATATACCGTGTCGTTCCCGTGCTCGTGCCCATGAATTTTAAGCCCGGCATGGCCCATAAATTATTCGTGCTCGTGCCGGGCTGGCCTATTTATTTCGTGCCCGTGCTCGTGTCGTGCTAGCCCGTCGGCGGCCCGGCCCGATGCCCATATACATTACCGATTCTTAGCAATAAAATGAGACCCTTGTCAAATAACACTATTCTCAGTTGCAAATCACATCAAAGAAACATTTGAGCCCCTGATGGCTTCCTCCAAATAACCAATTTTCACATTCTCTTCACTTTTCTCAATCACAAACACATGTTCACAGGAAAGCTTCTCTACCACAGGTTTGAAAGCTTCTATTTTAAACACAGTAATGGACGAATTCAGTTTGATCTATTGTTCAAGACCCACTACTTCATTCTTGATAGCTTCAATTTCAAGGAGATCACCTTCGTCTTCTAGTAACTTGCACGTCTCGATAACTACCTCATTCTAGGCCAAGTTTAACCTATAATGGCGTTGTCATATAGTGGCAATCAAGATAGTATTCACTCGGGACCCTGTAATCTAGCCTACTTCCCTCGTAATTGTTATCTAGCTGATCAGTTTAAGGGATTGTGTTGGAGGATTCAAGTAAAATAACTAGTAGAGAGAATAAACAAGGATAAAGCAGGTACTTAGGGAAACAGACCCACGCCATAGCCGAGGTCTACCATGCGAATGATCAAACATGTTGGGTTAAGCGAATGTGGTGAGTGAGCTCTTTTCCGTGGGCCTTCATGATAATCCACACGCCTCCCTGTATGCCCTACCTACCTCATTGTCACCTCGGTATAGGCTCATGTATCTGGGGATTTCAGAACTTAGCTCCTTTCGATGGGTACTACCCACCGTCCATACTGAGTTTTCATGCTGGGTTCCATCTAGGAAGGCGTTCTTGTGATAGGGGTTTGGGAACCTCGTCTACCACAAAACCCTATTCATTCATCTCACCCTAATCTGTCAGATGGAGCATACCCATCTAACACTAAAACTCTATACCCAGCGTAGAAGCTCAAGTAGGCTAGTAGAGAATATTTGGGCGACTTACACAACCACAATTAGAGAAAGCATTAAAATCAACTAGACAAACACACTCATTCACAACCCTAACATATTCATTCATTACATAATAGCCCTAAACTAGGGTTTGGGGGTTAAAACCTCTAGTATCTTAAGATAGTACTCCATAAAGAAGGGAAGAAGATACATAGAAGAATTTGGGGAAGGCTTGAAGTTGAAGAAGATGACTCCTCTCCTCTAGCTTCTCCACTTTCTCCTTCTTCTCCTCTCCTCATTCCATCAGGTTCTCTCTCTCTCTCTCTCTCTCTCTCTCTCTCTCTAAACCAAAATTTCTATCTCAAAATAACCTCTCTTAAAATGGGAGAAGAGGTCCTCTATTTATAGACTTCAGAGGGTGAACAAGTTCACGGTCGAGCAGAGGGAGTTTGTGGTGGTGACCTTTCCCTTCTAGCCACGAACTTCAGGCATTGTGGTTTTGGAATTCATCTTCAGGAGTTCGTGGGCTGACTTCACGGTGGCAATCCCTTACTCACGGCCGCAAACTTTCTCGCGATAAGGGAAGACGGTGACTGTGATTCGAGCGTCGAAACTTTTTGTTATCTCTCGGGTGGCTTTGTGGCAGCTAACTATGGTCCTCAGGCCGCAATATTCTCTCCTGCTTCACGGTCTGCTGTCTTGGCCAAGATCTTTCCCTTTCAGGCGGTGATCGTCAGCTTCCTGCCCATTTTACTACACTTGTCTCCTTTTTCGTACCTAATTCACATGTATTGCCTAAAGCACCCTATTATCAAATAGGAACGAAATAGGGATGCAATCGATGATATTATTTGTCTATGAATTGGCATGATACGAACCTAAATATGAAGGGAAAATAACATCATTTTGGGTGTTTTCAGACCCCCCACACTTAGGCATTTTCTCGTCCCCAAGCAAACATACACAAAACAATGCAACTTGATAGACAAATCAACAGGGAGTGAACTCTAGTTCTTCATTTCATAAAGAAGATTAGACGTAGACGAGTAAACGTTACTATCATCTTACTGAACTCCTTGGTGAGGACCATACCTACTACCTCGTGATGAACATCCAAGGTGTGCACTCGGGGACTTCTCAACAACAATTAATCACAATAACTTTTAAGGGTGCTCTTTATTCTTTCTTTCAATTTAGGAGTTGTCATTCATTGGTCCTTTTTCAACATTGAATTGCACCAAACTTTGGCAAACTCTTTGCAAGAAAGCATCTCTCCCTCATGACCAAGAGCAGATGGATCATTTCCTTCCCTATGAAGGTCACATGTGGGGAATTTGGTGGGCGGATTTGTCTTAGCCCCAGTACCACTTCCAAGCCTGCACTCCACATTGGGTTGCCACACATATCAAGTACAAACGAGAGCTGAGGTCTCTTGAATCGCTAAAAGGTACTTTGTACCTTGCCATACAATTCCATAAGGAAGAGAGGTGTTTGGCGGATGGTAAGTTGGGAAAGGTGTATGGGATGCGGTAAAGCATCTCCAAACACATCATCAAATGGCACTCTGAGCCAAGAGAAAATCCCTTTGACGGCTTAACTCAAACACTATGCTCGGTTGCCTCTAACTTGAGAACCTCTTGATTTATTAAACTGAAAAGTTAAGCACATATTTGGAAAGGTTTCAAGTTCAAAAGTGATAGAGAGTCCCGCACACATGTTCTTCCTAAAATAGCAAACAATATCGACTCACCAAAGAGGAAGAAGAAAGTAAAATCTACCATACATTGGTACTCTAATCATGCAACTACTCCATATCAAACACACATACAAATTATCTGTCAATTCAAAGCATACAGTGTAGAAATTTGCAAGAAACAAGGTGTTTTGGAACCCTCAAATATGAAAAATATTTGGGTATTGCATTCTAGGTTCCAAAACAGAATCAATAATCCATTCAACACCACAAACACGAACAATCGCTAGCATACATTCCCATAAGCAATCATCAACGTCTTACATTCATAATCAAGTGATGATAGTAGTGATTCATGGCTCAATCAATCATGATAATCATTCAAGCATTCACACACATTCCCCCCCCCCCCCCCCCACCCCACACACACACACACATGAGCAACACATTATCCTCAATGTGGGAGATTCAAAAGAGAAGATCATGAAGGTTACAATAGGTTGGATTGTGGGATGGTGAAGGTACACAAGTGTAGGTTTTTATCTTCCTGGTGTTTACGGTAGAGCAAATTGGAAAGAGAGGAAGACGATTATAAGACATAGGTACGATAAGTAGATAATAGAATTAAAGTAATACTAGAATATTTAAATTACGCAAATTAAAACGAAAAGAAATCAATAATTAAACATTGTTTAAAGGAAAGAAAAGAAGAGCAAAGAAAAATAAAGGATAGTTTTTAGGCCCTAAATGCCTACCAGTTAATCATCCTCGGAGGGTTCTTCTTCTTCTTGGAATGGCGAAGGGGAAGGTGAGTGAATAATTTGGGGTTATACAATATCCATCTTCTTCATTATAGGATAGGTACACGCCACAATATGGAGTCGCGCTTCCTTCTCCCTTCTTTGATTGTGAAAGATTGCCGCTATCATCGCTTTGAATCAGAGATCCCTTGTATGATTGAGTGGTGGGGGAACCAGATGAGAAGTGGATAGATACGCCTCTCTTTCCTCATGCATGCTTTCAACAAGTTCTTCCTCGATGACTAGCCCTCTTCGTCCTCTTACCGTCGTGGCTTCTGGAAGACAAAACACAGTACCTTCCATAGCCAATGTGTTAGTGGTTGGAAATGGAAGTCCACGTACTCCCCAAATGCCATTTTCACTCAAATGTACTACTTCAAATATGGATTTCAAGATTTCTAAGGATATAGGAGTAGTTCTACTATCTAGCCGAAATTGCTTGGCTAAGAAGTCGACTCTGATATACTTTGCAAGACGAGTGACATAAGCTCCTCCATGAAGGGCAGTGAGTCGATGGTCCATTTAATAACGCTTGAAGATGGACAGAATTGCCAAACTGAGGGGAAGCAATTGAGGACAATGCAGGCTTTGGAAGAAAATGATGTCTCGGTCAGTCAAATTGCCCTTGCTTCAGTTCAACCCACGGACTTAGCAATCACATGGTGGATTAACCACCACTCCGGTTTCACATAACTAGTCTTCGATAGCTTGACATCCCATGGTCGACTGTTGGACTTTTTGACTTCGGATTCATAAAAAGGCTTGAAACAT